AGAGAGTGCTAATTGCTATTGGGTTTTCGTCATCAGTTATTCTCTGTATTCCAAAACTAACTTGTGTTGCTGCAGCTGCAAAAATAAAATGGATATCTCCTGCCTCAAATGAACTTTCATAATGTGCGTGTAGATTAACGTTTACTGTTTCTTTGTGTAAATCAGAGACATAATCAAAATGAAAAATATTATTTTACCCATGCCTTAATGCTGCCTTTGTTGTCATTTGTAGTTAAAATACATCTCATTATTTTTTAACCAATCCACAGGGCATCAGCAAATTACCAAACACTCACACAGTTTGGTTTTTATTTCTTTGTTAAAACCACATGCATTACCACAGTTCTACAACAAGAAAATTAGTTATTCCTCTGTATTCCTTGAAACTGCTGTTGCTGCAGATGCAAACATAATTTTCTGTGCTCCCAAGTATTTTTCCAGGAAGAACTGAATGTGTTTAGATCAGCAAATGTAAAAATAATTCATAAAGGGGCTGTAGGTTAAATTACAGAGGCATTATAGGGGGAATGCCAGTAGTTATTACACTATACCTGCAATGCTTAATCAATAAATGTTTGTGAGAAGTAATTGGCATCTGTTAAAGTACCCATGCCCTGATGCTGTCTTTCCTGGACCATGTAGGTGTCTAATTAGAGCCTCAATCAGAACTGTATTACCTTCTGTAGCAGATCCCCCCAGCTGTTCTTCTGGTAGGAGGAGATGGTGACGTGGAGGGAGTGAGCGTCTGGGAGGCAGTCGCCCTGGTGGATGAATCCACGGGGGAAGTAGAGGAGATCCCCGGCTTCTAGCACCACTTCCAGGATCGGCTTCCCAATGTCTGCCTGTTCGAAGTTTGCTGGAGAGGAAACGCAAAGCAGTCACCTCTGTGCAATGAGCTACCTTTCTCTGTGTAGATGTGTGAAAAGCAAATAACATACAGTAAACGGGTCTCTATAAATCCTAATTAGCATATCCTGTACTACACAAGAAACTAAAACTATAAGATATATTTTTTTTTTTACTCACGACTTGACACCACAGGCAAGACCTCATCTTCTGTCCTAAGAAACAGAAAAACAACTTCAGTGAGCTTCTTTTCTTGCGTCCAACTATGAGGACAAAATCGTTTTCTGCATTGTTAATGTAGCAAAAACAAGTTGGTGTGAGTTTAACCGCTCTTTGAAAGATTCCTCCAGGTGTCTCACCTCGGGTTGTACACTCTCCAGTGTTTCTTCCCCTCCAGCTGGACCACAAACGCCTCAATGTCATCATAATGTGGAGCGAAGCCTTGCGTTCCAGGTGGTGTCAGGTATCTGGTTGAAGCACAAAACACTCGTTTAAACAGTAACTGATAGTATCCGAACAGGTTTTCCAGGACAATAACTGTTCCAAATACTCACACGTTGGCTCCTGCCATACTGCCGAACTGCTCCTGAAGGATGGACAGCACGTTCCACACCGTGGACGAGAAAGCCTGGGGATTCAGCATGCGGAGGGAGCAGCCACTCTAGGATATGGGGATGTAATGATTGTTACTAATCTGCAAGCAGTGCAGATGGTGCCCTGATACAGTTAATGCACTTAACACAAAATGGCTTCTAGCTTGCGGCACAGAAAATATTAAAATGAATACATTGCTTAATACATAAACATACATATAACTGCTTTTTAATGAAGGTGGTCCCGGAAAATTTAGGAAAACTTTAATGACGCCCACAGAGGAGGCCGGTGCAGCTAACTCGCTGCAGAGGGCCCAATTATAAAAAATGTAAATCAGGACCATAAAAATGCCGAATCACAGTAATGCCAAATTAGAAATATTCACATACTGTACACAAATCTGCTACCTACACCAAATGTGGCCTCACCTCATAGAAGTCCCACACAGTGAACGGCAGAGCTCTCCCTGGAGGATTGTGCGTCTCCCTGGTGCCATTAGTGTAGCTTGTGACATCTAGGTTCACTCCGTACTGAACATCCTCCTTAAATTTAACAACGCAGCATACATGTAGTATCAGCATCAGTATGAAAAGGATCTTTGTCTTCATTTCTTCATCAAAGAACATAATGCAACCCAAGTTAAAACCTCACAGTGGATCAAATGGAACAAATTTAGCTATTATAATATACAAAACAAATGAGGTGGCTGATTTTCACATTAAAAACAACAAATGTTACTTCATGTTCTTTTTATTTATGTGTATATAATAAAAAATTAGACCCAACTTCATAGAACTTGTCTTGATAATTATTAGTCTGTGCAGTTGGCGATTGCGGAGAACAAAGAAAGTGCGAACAAATTATGCAACCATTCTCCTTTTGATTAACTGTGTCCACATGAACATTTTGTAGTGTGTAAATTGTAGTGTGTAAAATAAATTTGAAAGATCCGCCTTAAATTGCAACACAGGTGGGGAAATTATAGTTAAATTAAGGATGGATAAGTGTCTCACTCGTGTTTTTAGATCTTTACCTGTCTTAATATGCGATCAAACTCCGCTGTGGAGAACAGTCCCTTGTAGTAATCTGGATTCTTGCGTTGAACAAGAATGGGCTTCTTTTCCCATGTTTCCCTTGAGAAAGAGGACAAAGATTAGCCGGTGAATGCTCCAAGAAAAAGATGACACCTCGTGCATGGTGTAACATTTTTGATCGATATGGAGTCTGTGCACTGAATGCACATTTCCAGACAGGACACACTCATCAGTTACCTGAAGAAGGACTTGGCGGGAATGGGGTTGATGAGCCACTGGAACAGCTGGCTCGCTCTCTCCCTGCTGTTGCTGACTTTTGATAGGTTGGCCAGAAAAGCATCCAGATCCTCACCATCTCCATTTACACACTCCTCCTCCTGCATCTGAAAACAGACAGACTCAATGAGCCATAACTGAATAGTATGGTCGTTTTAGGGTCAAAATAAATAATAATACTACCGATATTATTAATACGTATTAAAAATGTTGACATTCAGATTAACAGATCATAACTTTACATGGATGTGATCATGACCATTCATTCAGTAGCTCCACATAGCATCCATCGTACCTCTGCATCAGGCACACACTTACTTCTGTAGTTTCCTTAGGGCTCTCCTCTCTTTGTGCAGACTTTAGGAGCTTCTTTTTCATTTTCTTCCTTTCAGGCTTTAATTGAGCTTTAACTGTGTTGACCTTATTGGCCCCATTCTCCTTTTTCTTTTTCTTCTTCTTATCTGCCACCTAGAACATCATACGAGTTAACATGAGGCCAAACACAGTCAGGCTACACAGTTAGTGTGGAGACATTAGGATAGCATATGGTTTGGTGGTTAAGTAGCTGTCAGGTGGACTGTGCCAGATAGAGCACTGTTCCCTCCTGCAGCAGTGACAGATACAGTCTATCACAGAGGAACCAAACCAGTCAATCTACCACATATTATTTTCATTTTATAAGTCTACCTGCAGGGAAGCCTTCTTAGCAGGAGGAGACTGCTCTGCTGAAAACGTTTGATACAAAGCAAAAGCTGACATGTGTTTTCTCTCCATTTTCCAGTATGCACGTCATCCCTCTGCGACTGCTGGGAGCCTCTTCTTCGAGTGTACATTGGCTCTCGAGTGGGCTCGCTACTGCCACCCGTGGAGCTGTACTGTAACAGCCACTGACAGTATATATAATATACTCTTTATACTATAATATAATAATAATAATAATCTACTTATAATAATAATAATGATAATAATAATAATAATAATAATAATAATAATAATCTACTTATAATAATAATAATGATAATAATAATAATAATAATAATAATAATAATAATGATACTACTAATACTACTATACTACTACTACTACTAATAATAATAATAATAATAATGATAATAATAATAATAATAATATAAAGAGTTTTCTTTACAAATGTTATTTATTGATTTTTTTCAAAATAATTCAGCAAATGAGTCAAATAAGTACAAACTAATACCAAACACTCACATCAAGATACAGCTAGTACATGATTAAAGTAAAAAATAAAACAAACAAAATAAGTAAATAATAAGCAAAAATATATACATACATTAATTCAATAATGTAAGTTTTTTTAAGCGCAAGACAGTTCAGTGGTCCATGAAACCAAAGCTGTAGATTGATAACAGGTTTCCATTCACATTAACAGATTATAACTAAGGCTATGGTGTTTTAATATTAGTCTATATATATATATATATATATATATATATATATATATATATATATATATATATATATATAGTTTTTTCTTATTTATTTATGTACACAACATGAGGATTTATTGGCAGATCCTGTATTTCACTTGCTCAGTTAATTAAGGTCATACCACATGCCTTATATACAGTGATTTACCTCTGTATTATATTTCATAGGCTGTTGGGGGTTTAAACAAGCTCTTCTTAAGCTATTTCCCTCATCCTCAATATGGTTCATTTGTTTTTCGTATAACTATCGGTTGTGTATGTTTTGTACATTACAGCATCCTTGTGTATGGTCTTTGCTGCAGGCTACTGTTTTGCTTTCATTCTTTATGAACAATTTGGTATGTACAGACTGTAAGGAAAATAAATGATTTGTAATACTGTACTAAACACTGTGCAAAAGCAAGCAAAAAGTAAACAAATGAACAACCAAAAATATCCTGAAGAGGTGCTGAGGTCCTAGTCTCATTGTATTTCTATACTATTCAAATCAGCCACAAATACATAACAGAAAATAAATAAAAAATGAATAAAACTATTACAAAATCAACTGATAAACAAATACAAAATAACCAATTCTTGCTTAAATATGATTTTTGGAGTGCCTGATCCAAAAAAAAAAACAATATTGAAGCGACATTATTTAATCAAATACATTATAACATATATTTTATACTAAAAACACATACTATCACATAAAAGGCCACGTTATGTATCACCACGCAGCACCCGCACCGACCACTAGGTGGCGCGTCGTCCTCCGATATTTCCACCCGCTTGACTCACACATTCTAATCAACACCGTTTCCCACAATGCTCTGCGGCGCGCTGTCGGTGCTGTTTGTCCAGCCGTCGCTCCAACAATGCAGCTTTTAATGGTGCTGTGAGCGGTGTGAGCTGGAGGAAAAAAAAAAAAAAAACGCAGCAGCAGCGCCCGCAGGCTCGTCCGGAGACCGTAGTCGTACAACATTCAAAAAACACAAGGCGACATTTTCCCCACGCCTTTGACAAAGCTGCCGGGCGGCTCCGGCTCAGTTTTTCGGGACATCTCGCACTCTTCTGCCGGGGTGAGTAGCCACTGAAGCTAACGTCGGTCTGCCAGTGTGGTGGAGAGCAAATGGGTTTTTTTGTTGTGACCGTTGCTGGCTAACAGGCTAGCTAATTGGCCAGATGAGACATATGGCCCCTTGTGTCTTTCCCCTGCAATGCCCCCTCCAACCCCTCACCCTAATGCAATAGCCTTTAACTCCTCTTGGTCTCAAGAATGCTGGATTTTAATCTAATGTTGGTAGTTTCCATGAAGAGGACTTTCAGGCAGTTAGGTCGTTTCTCTGTAGTCGCTGCAAGTCGTGAGTCTGTTTTGCTTTGATCTCGGCTGAGGCACACGTCAACCAAGCCGGTGTACTCGGTGCTTTGCTCGTGTTGCTGGCTTTAAAGAAATGTGAGTAAGTAAAATGTCACGCCAAACTCCATTCAAAAAAACTGCCAATTTATTGTCAACACTCACTGGCGAGCATACACGCTGGCGTGATCGTTTATGTTGATTGTGAGAACCATAATGAGCTGCTAATCAAGTCAATACGGTTCAATACACCGCCGATAGTTTCTGCAAACCTACTTGGCATCATGGTGTATATTAATGCACGCTAACTCTTACACTGCTATTATTATTGACTATATATTTATAAAACTAAAGATATGTAAATAGAAGTTCTGTTTGGATAAGAGTTAGGGTTTTTCTCTAACTGGATAACAAGTTCGATATCTTGCTCTGTCAGTCATGTTTCACCTTTGCCATAGAGCAGTAATCATTTATTTGTTATGAAGATTGAGTGACCTGCTTGCCACAGAGGAGATCATAGGGTATTGCTGCTATAATGTTACAGTATTGATTCCCTATAATATAGTTTAAAATGTACGAAGAACAAGTTGCTCCCTTTATGTTGTTTTGACTAATGTAGCTATTATTTAAGGCAAGGCATAGCATGTTTGTGGGAATACCAAGTTTACTGCCGGGGGCATTGTTTTTATAAATACTATAATACTATATATATAATGTTATAAATGTTTCAGTAGTCAGTAAATCCATTTTCACTCAGATTTCTAAGCCCAAAGTTGAGCATTTAATAGCGGCCTTACCAGAGTTGTTGGCCCAAAGCTGTGTGGTCAGTTCATTTGAGGCTTTAAGGGATTGCATGCATCATCAGAGCACGCCTTTGTGCATTTTTATTTGACAGGGGGATGCATTTGTCAAATCACTTAATACATCATAGATGATTAGTTGAGTATAGAAGTCATTGTTTTCATGATATGTTATTAATTAGGCCTCTCGAAGTCTGAAACGTGGTGGGAAAACAAAGTTGCTGAGCACGAACATATGCAGTATCCCGAATCTGTTGATGTGGAGAAAACTAGAGAGGGATAGCAGGGAATTGGTTGTGTGAAACAACACAATATTCACCTGATGTGTGTGTGTGTGTATATAGAGGCTGCAAAAGTTATACAGTTCAGATTTCACATCGCTGTCTGGATTGTATGTTCTTTCCTCACTTCCAAACCAATATTCATCACCTTTTTTTAGACATATTCTCAGTTACATTTGTCATGTATTATTAGATTAATGAGCATCAGTGTGAGATGTTTGAGGGCCAACCCCAGATAGAGGTGTAGGCTGTAGTTTTTGTAGGTCAGTTGCTTCTCTCCCAGTTAGTGCTACAATCTGTCAGTGTATCGCTGCAGATGCTAGTGTTGGTTACAGATTGGCATTCTTCTCTCTCTGACATTTATTTTCGGCGCTGAGATATAAACAACAGCAATGTGTTCTTTCAGTGTTTGTAAACAGTCAACTAAACAAAAGAAGCATGCTTTTTTTTTATGTGATCGAACAAATGTCAATATAGATCTGTCCAACATTAAGATGTTTATGGATTTTTATCTTTGACCATCTAGTTAATATAAAAATCCACTACATCATGCATTAATATGGACTGTACAGGGCCACTGTATATCCCACTGTGGACAAGGATATCGTTTCTTTCCTCATAGGAGTGTGACTGCCACGCTGTCTTTTGAATGATTTGTTTTTTCCCTCTTGCGGTCGCATAGTAATGACCAACTGCCACAATGCAGAATAATGGCAAAATCATTATTTCAGTATGTGGCAGGATGCTTGTAGATGTGCTGCCCTCATTAAACACTTGGACACCTGCCTGATGCCACAATTTTCTTAATTTTTATTATTATATGTGTAAGAGGCCATTCTGGTGGGATAATTAGAAGTGGTTGATTAATGTGGACTGATATGGCCTGATGCTGTTAATTGGAAATGTGGAAAAAAAGAAATACCACTAAGAGGCTAGACAGCATTTGCAGCATTTTGAAAGTTATTTTTTGCAGATTAAGCCTCAAATTTTGGTGCTGATGATTCCAAATTAATTTTACCACATTGTTTAAAGCAGCTATGATTGATATTTTCTAAATAAGTGTATCAAATGACAATCTGAAAATAATTTGAAAATGAAAGGGGTCGCTTATTGAACATGTTGAGCATGTGCTGCTCCCTCAGCGTTACAGTGCTTTTTAATGAGTTACAGCGCGTTGTTTATCTGTTCGGCCTCAACTTTAATGCTTTGATACACTCTGTCTGCTTTCATAAGGGCGTTTTTTTGGACACGGCAGGCAGCTGTTTTTCAGCAAAAAAGCTCTAAAAACGACACTGCACACAAGCTGCTCAGCACCAAACAGCAGGCAGACACAGTTAGTGAATAGCTGGTGAACCTAGTGGGACATTTTAGCAACTAAAGAGCCAGATATTTCCCTTTGAGTTAGTAGAGGTTATATTGTTTAGTAGAGTTAACTTACATTCATCAGGTGGCCAGAAACACCACTCCAAATAGAAGATCACGCTGCTCTCTAACAGCTAGGTGTAGTTTGCTATCAGGGAGCTGTGCCTTGTCACCGGGACAAAAGTATCAGAGACACAGACCTTTTCTCTTGTAACACATAGCTGCTGCACGCACTAACTGTACGAGCTGCTGCCACTAGATAGTTAGCGGTCCTATTAGCTGACTGTACCCGGACTGCGAGCTCAAAATACCGGGGGAGGTTTGCTTACAACACTAGCACAGGAGCTTTGGGTTGCAGGGGAGTGGGGCGAGCAGGCAGCAGAGCGGGGGGGTGGTCAGTGACCACGACCTGGACCGGATGCAGCCTCCGACACCATCAAAGGCCAGGTGATTTCTGACCAGGAGTAGATGCAGCAGCAGCAGGTCCAAGCAGGGACAGGAGAGGCTTAAAACAGGATAGGGAGAGGAGTTGATTTGTAAGGAAACTTTACACGTCGTCCATTGTGTCAATAAGTCCGCAAGTATTTGTTTTTGTGAAGTGAGTTATTACATGTTTTGAACAACGAGACGTGTGTGATGTTATTCTGTGTCGAAATAAATGAACAAACTGATAGATTCAGATTCATTACAGCTTTTTGCATTATCATTAAATAGACAACTGTTAAAATAGATAGAAAATAGATATTTAAATCATAAACGTTTGACAAATGGTCGACTAATGACTTGAACTAATAATTACTAGTCGACTAGGAAAGTATTGAGTCAGGGACAGTCCTATCGGTTACTCCTGTTCTAAGTTTAGGACGTTAATGAGACATAAGGCATAATCTGACAAAATGCCACAAAAGGTAACTAACACTCATGAAGACTGCAGTCTTACTGTAATACACCTTTTTCACAGAAGTCATTTTGACTTTTCATAGTCCAGATAGATGATAACTGATAACATTATTTATTCTCTGCTCCATTGAATTGTCCCAGTAACACATGTCAGTGAACCAGCATACACGGTGACATCTTTTTCCATGATGACATGTCAATATGTCTCCTGGGAAATAGGATGGAACATGAGCTAAGTATGATTAAAAGTCCTCTTCCATCTGTTGTCAAAGGCAACTGACACAAGGCGCCAGTACACCCAGTTAATATAGTAAATGGACTGCACTTATATTGCGCCTTTACGTTACATCTCATTCACCCATTCAGAAACTGATGGCAGAGGCTGACATGCAATGTGTCAACTGCTTATCAGAAATGGAAACTAATTGGTACCACAATGGAAACAATTTAGGGGACAAGGACCCTTCAACATGATCACCCCTTCTGATTGTTACTTGAAATAACTAATATAGCGCTTACATATTTTTGTGGTTCAAAAGCAAATATATGTATTACTAGAGGTTGTAACAGTTAATACTTAGACTACCTGGTCAGGGATAATCGGGGCACATTAGTTCTCCAATCTACGCTTTAAAGAACATCTGCTTCCACCCAAAACGTCCCATGTCATGGAGGTCCTTGCGACTAAGAATTATAGACAGTTCAGAGGCCTTTATTTTGAGCCTTTTGGCTGGCATGTGGTGTGGTAGTGATGTGGTTTGATGGTGCAGCACGCCACAAAATCAGGGATGGAGTTAACTTCATTATTGCAGCTCTGAATTGTGATTTTAGTCTGACTTAAAATAAAAAATAAATTTAAAAAAGCCAGCGTGAGAGTGTGGCTGTGGTGTTAAACACTAGGGCCTAGACCTTAATTGCAACGTCCTTGTAATGAGGGTCTGAATGAATCACCGACTGGAGCCGCTGCCTCTTGACTTACGTTCTGTCAAACTGTCCTGCTCTCGTCTTGAGAAAGTGCAGAGGTTTAGCTCTACTTGAATAGCTGAGTGTTCCCGGTGTGGACGAGTGCGCCCCTTCTACTCTAATGAACATCTGCTTAAAGAGGCAGCAAGAGTTAGGCTACATTAACCTAGGACAGCTTGTTCTGTATGTTTGTTGAATAACAGCAGGATTTTCTTTTATTGCGCTAGGCAAGAGAGAAATGAATGGCATGAATAAAAGTCCTGACAAGAACAGATGAAGCAGCTTGTAGCTGCGAGAGGAGAAAAATGCTGGGAGAGGAGAGGGAGAGATGGCAGAACTAGTTTTATTTTTGGCAGAGTAAGTAAACAGCAGCTCTCTGTGCCATGCCTGCTAGTCAAGCAGTATGATTTCTCAGCTAA